CACATAAGTGTGACCGACCACGAAATAAACGGGCAATAAATGTTGATGGATAAGTTTTGGTGCAGCTTATCGCCAGTTAAAACTAATGCCTATCCAGCTTATCTTTGTTTTGACGCCAATAATTTTGTTTTTATTTTTTAATTACGTACCCATTGTTTTACGTCAGCTAAAAACCGAGCAGTTGTTGCCTGTTATGGTATTTATATTTGGCGGTGCATATTATATGGGCGGGGCTACAAGAAATTCTTATAGCCCAGACTATTTTATGAGCGAAAAAGTGGTGCTGGTAACACTAAACTACCGGCTGTGTTCCCTAGGTGAGTTAGTTAAGATACATACACACATTTTTTTCTTTATCTACTAAATAACACTCCGTCATCCAAATTCCATAGGTTTTCTGAGTCTCGCGGATCCTGCGCTACAAGTACCCGGCAATGCAGCGCTCAAAGATCAAATACTCGCGCTCAGATGGGTGAAACAATATATCAGTCACTTCAATGGCGATCCCAACAATATAACAGTGTTTGGAGAAAGCGCCGGCGCTGCTAGCGTTCATGCGCTAATGCTTAGCGAACAGACAAGCGATCTTTTTCAACGCGCCGTCCTTATGTCCGGCACTGCGCTAAGCTATTGGGTCAACATGCCGCAGACTGATATGGCCTATAGATTAGCAAAATTTAATGGTTATAGCGGTGAGAATATAGACGCAGAAGTATTATGCTTTCTACAACAATTAGAACCTGCCAAACTGGTACAACATTCGCTGCTCAATGAGGAGGAACGCAGAAAGTTGTACATATTTCCTTTCGGACCAATTGTGGAGCCATATGTTAGCGCGGATTGTGTTTTGCCAAAGCGACCATTTCAGCTGTTAACAAACGCCTGGAGTAATCGCATACCATTGATTATTGGCGGTAACTCCTTTGAGGGTCTCTTTATGTATCAACGTCTGAAGATGTTTCCACAAATAATGCGCACGCTTTTGAATGATCCAGAGCGGATTTTACCAGAGGACGCAAAAGAAGCTTATACGCCTGAGCAGCGGCGGGAAATGGGTACAAATATGCTGAAATTATTTTTTGGTGCGAAGGAGCCAAGCGATCGTTCGGTGTTCAAATTTCTAGATGTAAGTCTATTTAATAGCTAATTTCCACCAAGCCTTAACAGCAGTTAATGCCTATAGGAAAGGGGAAATTACAATTCGAAGGGGGTAATTGCTCATAAAAAGTACAAAAAAATTAAGGTAAAAGAGCAAAAGTCAGAAATCAACCTTGCCGATGCCACAACATGTTAAAATTCTTTAAACTTATCTGAGCTCTTAACTGCAGTTAGCTGTTAGTGGGAATGGGGTATAATAAAATTTTTGGGTATGTTACAGGAAGGTTTTGTATACAGCGCTTCATATAACTTATTGTAGAAGCATAGGCAGACGACAGCCTTGATCTGTACCAACTTTATAATTCGGAATTATCTCGGCAATTAACTGCAGTTGATCCGGATTAGGGGTCCTGCAGCTAATCCTCGAAATTAATGCGGATCTGGGGAACTTTCGATACCAGTACTGACCAAAACGGCTAGCTGTAGCACAAGAAAGTTTGGCGTCCGCGGTAACTGAAGGGTGAGAGTTGCGTACTAGACTTCTGTAGGGCCCAGGTTCGATTCCCAGCTCGAGCGATTGCCAAACAAATTTTCTTTTCTAGTATATTTATTTTTTTTCATTCATATATTTTAGTTTATCCACTTAGAGGCACAAAATTCGAGGATGTGTGAGGATTTTCAATATATACCCGTGATTTTATTCTATAGAATTTTCTCTTTAATTTGCACGGGTACTATTTTTTTAGATTTCACTGAATTTTTTAAGTGATTTTTTGAAATAATCGTATTTTTAAACTTTCAAAGTTCTTTAAAACAATCGTGATATTTGGCTCACGGTGTCGTGAATATATTGATTTTTGTACATATGTGCAAAATTGACTGTCGCATTGGAAAAATAAAAGTAACAATTTTGTGAAAAAACGAAAAAAAAATGAAAATTCTACTGGCCGTGGGACGCGAACCCACGAACTCGCTGCTCGTTTATCTGCATTACTACCATATGTCAGGGTACAATTTTGATGTTGCCGTCTGTTTATGCTATAACACGTATTTAGTAAACTTTTTTTTATTTTAAAGCTTAGCTGCCTTTGCACTGTTCGATTTTCTAGTCGACTTTAGTCGTTCAAACAAAATCTACCATAAACTGTAAAATGTAAATGCTTCGGCTCAGTCGATTTTCCAGTCGACAAAAATCGACCCGGGTAGAACCAACTTTTAGTACCCAGCTTTCAAGAAAAACAAAAATTGTATAAAAAAATGCTCATTAAAAAAGAAAAAATTAATTTTCTTCTACATATCAAAGTTTCTTCTAACAGTTGGCTTAATCGAGCAAACAATTTTTCTTGATAGCTGGAAATTAAGCTTAAGTAAAGAACAAAACATTTTTGTACCACAATTTAAAAATTTTTAAAAATTATCATCCATTTTAAATTTCCTTCTAGATTTATGGCTACAAGCAATTTTGGCATGACATCCATCGCACTATTTTGGCACGTTTGTCCTATGCCTCTGCTCCAACTTACCTATATCGTTTCGATTTCGATTCACCAGATTTTAATTTGTATCGCGCAAAGTTTTGTGGCCACGATCCAGTGCATGGCTGCGCGCATGCCGATGACCTATCATACATGTTTTTCTCAAATGACTCGTGGAAAGTTAGCTTGGACTCGGCGGAATATAAAACCATAAGGCGGTTAATTGGCATTTTAGTTGCCTTTGCCAAGAACTCCGATCCCAATTGTGATGAAATTAAACCAATTGTATGGCATGCGCTTGAGAAGTCTAACCCGAGCTTGGCTTTGAATATCAGCAATGATTTGAGTATAATGGAATTGCCAGAGAGTGTGAAACTGAAAGCATTTGATAAATTATTTGCATCAACGGAGCAATTGTATTGATAAGTTGTTTTACTTGTTACATTCCTTAACCTACATAAATATGTAAATAAATTAATACATAACAGTACATATCACACTCTGAATAAAAAAGTTTCCGATCTAAAAAAAAAATTTTTAAATCGCCTTTTATTAGTACATACCACATCATTTTTTGCAACAAAGGATTTTAGTTAGATATGGATTTTTACATTTCAGCAACGATGTTACATAGGGCCTATCTATATTAGGGTAACGCTATAAATACAAGCTAGCTTACCTCTAATTTAAAAAATTTTGTCAAACATGTAGAAAAGTGGCATTTTTTTAAACGGCACACAGTGGTCGGAAGAGATTTGTTACGCGCGAAAATTTTAGTTTGACAGTTCACAGCGGTCGTGAGATGGTAATTTCTCTAAAAATAAGAAAATCTTTTTGAAAATACCATTTTACCTTTTTTGAATTTTTCTAAAAATCAGATAACCTTTATAAAAATCTCTTTGATTAGGTTTTTAGACATGCTGATCTCGAATTTATGTCAAAGTTTCTAAAAATTATAAAATATTTTTTAAGATGCTCCTGATAAGGGTTTTATACATTCTAGTCACGAATTTAGGTAAAATTAAAACCTTCAGGGTTTACAATTGTCGAAGGGCTGTCAACTTCTCCAGAAATAAAGGCAATTTACCAAGAATTAAACGTACTATGTTTTTGGAGGCTCACTGATCTTAAGTTCTGTATCACATTCAAACTTTTTCGGTTAACATTCGTGAAACTAACGGTAATGGTCAGTTAAGTAACACAATATATGTATTTGTTTAGCAAAATTTTATTTATCCTATACCAGGAATCACATATAAAATGAATTTATGATCAAATTATAAAATTATAACAGTAATTATATTTATAAATTAGGAATAGTCGGGGCCGTCTGCTATATGTTCAGCCCAAACAATTTAATCTAGGTCCAAAGAGTTTTTTTAATTTTTTATTTTATTATATATGAAATTCGTCATTACCAAAACTTCAGTTTTCTTATTTTTAAAAAAGTTATTCAGGTTTTAATCTCTGGAAATTTCGGACGCCATATTGGATTTCGAATTTTGAATTTTCAAAAACTAGCTTGAAATTTGTAAAGAGCGAATTTAAGAACCTCTAAATACCATA